ACCTTCCTTCGGAGCCGTTCCCCCGGCTCCACTCTTCGGCGTCTTCGCTCTTGGAGGTTCCCACGTTATGTACTTGGGCAAGCGACCTTCCTTCGTGTCATGAGTCCAGATTCATTCGAGACGTTCGAACCTGAGCTCGCCTTCATATCACTTCAGAGCTTGAGTTCATTTTCTCAGGTACTCATCTCATGTCATCAGCTAGCGGTGATACTCTGGCCACGCGCTTCCTCCCCCGTTTATAGATAAGTAGCCGAACTCTGTATGACACTGGGAGAAGTCCGACTCCCGAGTCACACGCCGAGCGTCACACTCTCGCCGAGTTTAGTTGTAGTAGTACTATAGTAGTCACAGTGTATCGTTTTTTTCGGTTGCTCAGAGTGTTCGAACCCTCGATCTATTGACGGCTAGCCAGCCATACGAACTTAGTTAGCACGCATGTTTTTTTTGCGATAATATGGTTGCTTAGCTCGATCGTCGATCATGGCTCACGAGGACAAGCTGCGTTCGTCGGATATCATTCTGATGGGCGTCTTGCTGGGCACCGCATACTTAGTTACAGGCTTATGAGGCGGAGGGGTTTGGCCTGCGAAGGCCGCAGGCTGTGACACATTCCTCGTTGCCTTTCATCTATCTATGGCTTCGGGTTACTATGCGGTATTGATAAGTTCTTGCTTCGCTGTTGCTCGTGGTCTCTGCTCGCCTCGCGGATCTTCGGAACAAACTGATCACCCGTGGTATGAGTACATAATCCATTTTTGCATAGGGGTCATGGTGCTCCTTACATGGGCAATTGCGATCTTCGGTCTCGTTGTGTCCACGGGCAGAAATGGCGGACACTTGGTAGTGGGCAAGGGGTACAGGGAGTTCAAGTTGGGCGATTACTCCCCCTGGATGCGGAAGAGAGTGAGAAACGAGGATGTGTGGAAGGAAATCAAATGGTGCCTGATAAAGAAGGAGTGCCATAAATTGTCGCTGAAGCATCCTGACCCAAAAACGGGCATCATCCAGTTCAACGGGATTCAGTCGGGGTTTTGCAAACCGCCAGATTCGTGCGGCTTCGCGGTGATCAACGCCTCCGCATCAAGTTACCAAGCCCGTGCTTCTTCCTCTTCTTTCCCGTCTTCGTTAGGCGGGGACTGCACGCTGTTCAGCAATGGTGAGTTCAAGTGCTTCGACTGCGATTCCTGTAAGGCTGCGTTTCTCGACAGTCTGAGAAGGAGCTGGCGAACGATGTCAATCATCGACCTCACTATGATCCCCGATTTCGTAATAGTCCAAGGTTTAGCAATATGCTTCGTGATGATTATGTACAAGTTGGTCGTCAAGCTGTTCGGGAGTTGTCTTCCGGACTCTCTGATTATGGGAAATGTATTGGATTGATTGATTGATTGATTGATTGATTGATTGATTGATTGATTGATTGATTGATTGCGTAACGCAGGTAGATTTACAATGATTAGAGTGATCAGACCAGTATTGATGTTTAGGAACTTTAGACTGTTTAGTTACTGACATCAATGTCATTTATATCTGGAGGACTGACTACAGTGGTGTAAGAGCTCCCTACAGGTGGCAGTTAAGTTTTCACTTCTAAATCCACTTCAGGCATCGGATTCATTTTGCACCATTTTCCTCGCTTTGGAGCCAAATTCAGGAAAATCGTGACTGAAACGCATTTAAAACTGAAAACTGTGACTGCGCCCCAGTTTTGCGTAAATTTTAATGGGAAATTGCGTTTGCGAGTAAGGCAAGGGAGCTTTCGGACTTTGTGAGATATTCTCACCTTTGTGGGGAAAAAGGAAAAAAAAAAAAAAAAAAAAAAAAAAAGGAAAAAGAAAAAAAGGAAAAAAAGACATTGTAACTTGTGTGACATCTGGGAGAGATGGCTGCACTCGGTTCGAAGTGGATCATCACGATGATTGCCACGTGTCATCGAGGTAATCACCATGGGTCATCAAGGTGGTTCCCACGAGGGGGTTGTCTGGGCGGGAGCGGCTAGGAAAGAACCTGAAAAGCTGGTTTAGATTAAAGCTTAATTATATGCTGCAATGATAATAATTGTACTATATTATTAAATTGTACATATAAGCTTCATCGGATTCTCTGTTTTTTGAAGTCAGGCTCCTCCAGAAGCAGCGAGGCGATAGTCCAGCAGGGAGCGGCGAGCAGACAAACTGTGCTATCGCACGGAGTCTCGTTAATATGATTGCTTGCCCGCTTGATTTGTTGATTGATTGATTTGTTGATTGATTGAATGATTGATTGATTGATTGATTGATTGATCGTTATACTCCAGACACGGCTGCACGTAGATCGTTTCGTCTCTGTTGATCCAGTAAGAGTCCAGTAGGGAGGGCAGATGGGACACTGTATTATTATCCCATCACGCAGTTCTTAAGGCACTGGGATTGGAACACGTGGTCTGATCATGAACCGCGACGTGTGTGTACCATTCAGCCAAAATCGGGACGGATGGGCGATAAATTATGGCGGGAAGACAGGTATCTGTCGCAAAAGTCGGACGAAGAGTCTTATTTGCTACAAAAGTAGAGGAAACCGGTATATTCGAGTAATGTGCCCTACTAGATTATTACTACTTTTCGGGGCGTACTCACTCACACAATTTCAATCGTAAATGAATCTGACCGCAATTAGGCCCACAAACAAATAAGTTAAAAAGGTCCTTAGTGTGAGTTTGCCCTAGCATATACGAAAGGTGTAATATGTGGTGGCTGTGTTGTCTTGAACTGGAGGACGGGAGAGGTCCATGTACAAAATTTCGTAATTAGTCGAATTTTAAAAAAAACGACAAATTACTAATTACGAAATTTAAAAGTCCAAACCCACCACCACCAAATTCTGCATCTGTCGGGGGGGGGGGGAGGAATAATTAAAAAAACGAGACCCTAAAAGTCACCACAGAATAACTAGGAGTTGAAAGCAGTCCTGATGGGGATTTGCTTGTTGATTCCCTGTTCGAGTCCCGGCTGAATAACAATCCGAAAAGAGAAATTGGACGTTTCAGGATTATTTTGTGGTCCAAAGTTTTCCTCCTCTCTTGCCTGACCTTCCTTTTCTTATCTTCAATGTCTCCTGCAGCTAAGAGGGGTGATTGATGATCGTTTTATCTCTCGCAAGAAGCTGTTTTGTGTGGTTGTACACCTTCCCCTCCCTCGTCCTCGTGCTCCCCCTCCCCCTCGATATCCTCGACCTCTCCAACACTGTGGACTTGTTGTTCCTCCTCTTCACACTTCATGTTGTGTGTGT